TGACAGGGGTGCTTACAATGATCAGCTTTTATTAATGTAAAACCTTTATCCCAAAAGAAACAAAACTGTTTGCTGTAACTACTTATAAAGTATTAGCTGGAGTTTGGCTTCAGTTTGTTAGTTTATCTAAACCTGCTAGTACATCTAATACCCCCTCCCTGTAAACTGACAATGTTCCTGTCAAAGGGTGCCCACTGAGCTCCTTCATCCAGAGTGGGGCACTCTAATACAGGAGGTATGTTACTGGCCAGATCAGCAGGTGAAAACAGAGGGAAAAAGCCTAAAAAAAGACAGACTGCATCCAAGGCTTGGTAAGCTGCAATATATTACATTTTTGAACTTAGGTTTAATATTACTTTAAAGGTATAAAGTTGAAATTTGATATGTAGATGAAATGTGTGCACTATGTATACATAAAATGGGCATGTCAAAAAATATATATCATTCTTTAAAAAAAATACTTACTGCCTTTTAATTGACAGGTATATGTGCATGTATTGTAGCTAACCAGGCGCAAAAGCTAAACTGGATGCATTTTACAGATTTTCTTGGTGATCTTGCATGAACTGTGCTTTAAGCCATCATAATGAGGCATGAGCAGGAACTGCCATGTTAATTAAAAAAAAGAAAAAAAAATGGTTAAAGCTGAACTTGAAGGGGGGGGGGGGATGTGGGTGTGCTGCAAGTCCGCTGAAAAAGAGCCAATCAGGTGACTTATCGCATATCCGTAATACTGATTGTTTTCAATTATCTTGATAGCTTATTGTGCTTTAGATAACATTTTGCTTGCCTATTAGATTTCTTTACGGTAGAATTTCACCTACAACTTTTTTTGTGTGCTGTGAAAATGTAAAACATATTAGTAAAACTAATTTCTTTGTCATTTTTGTAAATGGCATGCTATTTAAGTTAACCTGTCTTACTTGTATGTTGCAAATGATTACGTTTTTAATCTTACTAATGACCTCCAGATATTCATATGTTTGATAATGATGATGGCTGCAAAATATAGGAACCTAAATATTTGACTGCACAGAGCAGATACTTGGCACCCAGGCTTTTTCTTAAAGTGATATTAAACCCTCCTAGAAAAAAAAAAAAAAAAAAAAAAATGTAGCTGTGCACCTTATGTCACCATTGCTTCCTGTCCCCCCTGTTTTGTTTAGTCACTACCATCCTATGAAAGCTTCCTTTGTTGAGTTTCCACCTATTGGGTGTCTAAAGTGTCTCTCTGATGCCACCACAGTGTGTGAAATGCATGCAAAGTAGGGGCTGCTTGTACTATGTCTGTCTGGCGCATGCACAGCATAGGCCATTGCCTTTCAGTACTCTGGTGCTTTATACTTTTTGCTTTAGGGGAAACTTTGAAGGTTTTTGGTCCGTTTTTACTTGATCTTTATTGTATAGGTAAATATTGTAGTATGAGGTATATCCATACCATATAGTATTAGCATTTAGTTTGCAGAACATGTTGAACGTCCTTTGTTGCTGATGACTGCTAGCAGAGAAGGGGGGTGCTGTGTCCCTCCTATGACTTATTCAACTTTGTGTATAATTTGATATCCTGTTGTTCAGGTCTGTTGAAGAGTTTAGCCGGCCATACATGGAATAAAATTTGTCCAGTTCAGCAGGTAACTGACACATTTCGATCCATGTATGGGCAGACTGGTTGTACAGAAGTTGATCTACAGATCAACTTCTTTACAACCAACTTAGTGGGTTTTTCCTGATCGATCACTGCCACAGGCTATAGCTGGCAGCACTGATCAGTGTATTTTGATGGTGGGGAAGTGTGTGGATGAAGGAATCAAGTCAAATTGTTCTCTTGAAATATTTCATATTTAATTGACTAAAAGACAAATAAGTTCTGATAAAATTTTGTAATGTTAGGCATGTTCCACATCTACTGCACAATACCTGAAACACACCGAATGTGAAGATGTGAACAGAGCCTAAATCTGGCAACATTGTGGAATATCGTAGCTTAATGCAGGCCATAGACTGTTCGTTTATCGGCCGATTTTTCATCCAAAAGAATTCGATTTTCGCACTGTTAGTGGGGCAATGGCATTGGCTGATTTTCGCGGTTCCTCCTCATTTCATTTATCGGTCATGCTGGAAAAATTTGTGAAAAACGGCCGATTTTCAAAATCATTGGTAGCAACATAGGTTTACAGAACGAACGATGTTTCGTTTTTCGGAAGAAAAATTGGCTGATAAACGAACCGTCTATGGCCTGCATTAAGTGCCAGTTCACAACCAATTCCTTTTTATTTTTCTGCGCCAAAAAATGCATGGATAGTAGGCTATATGGTTTCCAATAGCATAGTTCACACCACTGCAGTCTGTTCCAGTGCATTCTAGTGCCAGAAACAAATTAGAGCATGCTGCATTTTTTTCTGCACTGAATTGTGCTAGAACTCTGTAAAACGCACCGGAATGTACACGTCCTTATTTAAAGTGAAGAAAAATAGGGGGGAAAAATTCACCCGATTCATCAAACATGCATGTAGAAACACATCCGGAACACATCCAGACTGAGTTTCTATGATATGAACCAGCCACTAAGCAGTAGTAATTCCCCATCATTCAAGCTTGTACAGCTGAATGAACACACGTGATTTACTATGTATTAGCATTTCGAAAGTACATACCAAAATCCCTTGTAATCCTTCTGTAGTATTGGACAGTAATATGAAAGAAAATGTATGCAAAACACTATCGCTCCCTTTACATTACTAATATTATTTAAAAACAATTGTTGCATTATTTGGTTAATCAGTGGCAGTTTGTTGTGTAAACAAGGCACATTGAAACAAGGCACATTAAAAACAATTGTTTTATATGTGCCCTTGCAGTGACTGGCATTGGTCAGATGCAGACAAACATAAATCTGTATTTGCAGTTTTTTGTGCACAAAGAGCCGGGGACTACTCTGAGTCCCAAACTATAGTTTCTTGGAAATTTTCTTTAAGATCTTGTGTTTGGGACACTTCCAAAAAGACAAGCACATGTTAATGTTTTTGTCCTTTTGTTCTAGCCAAATAATCCATTTATTTTCAAATAAAGTGGCTTTTTTAGCACACGTTATTTACACGTGAGGAAATGTTTGTCTGCTTTCATAGGAAATAAGGTTGTTGATAGTTGAATTTAATCCTTGTGGACAAAGACACCAGAGCATAGGTGAAATTGTAATGTCATGTAAATAATATGACAAAGTAGTTTTTGGTAGCCTTTGTTTAATGAAGTTAGAGGAAAGCTAAAGGCATCCTACTTTACGCAAGTGTCCTTAAAAATACAAAAAAAAAAAAAAAGATGCGGGCTACAAAATGAAGGTGCATATTCAAATCTATATTGTGGGTAATATTTTGCTTTCCCTTACAGTTTTTAATAAGCATCACATGCAAATTATCATAACCATATGTTCTCTGAAATTACATAGGCAGAGAATTGGATGGTAATTTTTAAACATTTACACAGCATGCCTCTGTTGCTTTTGCAACAAATTCAAAGTTCTGCTACTGACCTCGTACTATTCACAAAAGGTAACATAGGCCTGCTGGGTTCATTGTTAGTCTGTGCTAAGATGTGCCCTATCATTTTCTAGGCAGCTACACACCAATGGAAACATTTCAGATCAGTCTGATTTAGCATTAGATGCCTCAGCATGTTATAATTATTTCAGCTTTTCAAGCAGATCAAAAAATGTTGGCACTGATTGCTTTTCCTTAAGACTGAAAAAGTGAAAGACATTTGGTAGTGTAAATGAAAAAAAACACACAAATGCATCTTTAAAATGAACTAGTACCTGCCTTCATTTTCAGTCTGCATACATAAGTTGTGGTGGCTTTTGATCAAGCTCAAATAAGTTAAACTATTTTTACAAACCTTATTTGCATGTAATATAGTGCACTTATTACTTGGCCCTGTGCTTACTGAAGGGTCTACACAAAATTTTGTGTGATCTTTAGCTCACCCCAAGCCTTAACCACTGTAGGTGTTATAAATGTCAATTTATTTAATACTATTTAGGTGAATCTATTGTCTAGAACAGGGGTCTCCAAACAAAGAGGCAGTTTACTGTCCTTCAGACTTTAGGGGGACCGGACTGTGACCAGTGGGGGAAGAATATGTTTTGGCATCAGTGGGTGTAAACAATGCCCCATCTTTGTTATTAAAGGGAGGAATAGTGCCCTAATGTTGGTATCAGTGGGGGGAATAGCGCCCTATCATTGGTGTCAGTGGGAGGAATAGCACCCCGTCATTGGTGTCAGTGGGAAGGAAAGCGCCCCATCATTGGTATCAGTGGGAGGAATAGTGCCCTATCATTGGTGTCAGTGGGAGGAATAGTGTCCCATCATTGGTGTTAGTGGGAGGAATAGTGTCCTATCATTGGTGTTAGTGGGAGGAATAGAGCCCTGTCATTGGTGTTAGTGGGAGGAATAGCACCCTATCGTTCTGACAGTGGGAGGAATAGTGCCCCATCATGTCTGTGGGAAGAGTAATGGCCCATGGTCTGTGTCAGTGGCAGAAATGATGCCACATTGTTGGTGTCAGTCGGGGGAATAGTGCCTTTTATTAGATGGAAGGATAATGATCCAAGGGCCCGATAAAGATAACCAAAGGGACCACTGGCCTAGAATTAAAAGCACTTCATTGTAACATTTGATTTTATTATAGTAGTCACACTATAATAAGAAAAGCTTTAAAAACTTGCCATTATCTGAAGGTTATATTTCTACAGCTTGGTGGTGCCCTGTACTTCTTCCTAAACATCAGTCTTACGTTTTTCTTAAATTAACTTTATAGCCTAAATAATGCATATAAGTTCTCTTGACTTTCCACTAGCATAGCCAAAATGTACTGTATATCTGTGCAAAAATGCATTTGTTGCAGCTTGGTTTTTGACACATCTTTGTGTTCATTGTCATTATCAACACTGTTGGCTAGTTATTATTAACATTATTTTCCCTTCTTTGTCTGTCTGCTTCTTACATTAGATCCTCCTGCTACTACTCCTCCTCCTACAAGTCCACAGACCCATTCATCTATTGACATTACAGGCTTAGCAACAACCTCCAGAAAGTTCCATGTTCCAGCTTCAACAATGGCGACCATGCAGGATGGAAACTTTGGCACCATTATTGGCAGCGTTGTAGGAGGTTGTCTATTCTTGATCCTTGTTATTGTGATATTTGGAGTTATCTATCATAGGAGGAAACAGACGTTCCGAGGTGATTATTTTACTAAGAGCTACATTCCTCCATCTGATATGCAGAAGGAGTCTCAGATTGATGTGCTCCAGCCTGAGGATCTTGACCCATTTCCTGACAACCTGAAAAAGGAGGTTGACATTAAAAGCAATGATCATATGTACAATGAGTATCTTCACGATGATGATAACTCTGACTGGAACCATATTGTTAGTTATAACAGATATCAAGAGCAATTTGACAGGCCAGTCAATAACTATAGTGACAAAAACATGCCTATAGTTTCAAGGTACAATCAGAACTTTGATAATGAAGATGACTTGGTCTCACATGTGGATGGTTCTGTTATATCCAGAAGGGAGTGGTACGTGTAGAGACTGCAGCAATTTGAACTGTGTATTCAGCTACATGATTGTCGAAGTAAAATTTCTGATCTTTTTTTCATAACCATTTACCATGTCTTGAAATGAATTTATACAATAAGGTTTCTCAAACCTCAACTCAACACGGAGTATGTAAATAAGATTTAGCTTGGAATATTTGATTTGTTAAAAGAACCGTTAACAAACTGCAATCTCCCTATCTATGAAGGATGTACATGATGGTCTGGCACTAGTTCAATAGATATATTATCACATGTGCTATAACAAACAGCAGATAACATTTCAGCTTTGACTAGTTTGAGAGCTAACGTTTCATTGGATGTCCAGAGTTACAGCACACTAGTTCCATTTGCACCATGTTATTCATAGGCCTTATAGCTCCTAAAATTACCTCAATGGTACAGCGAAATTCAATGTGTTAATTCTATAAATTAAACTCATTCATTAGATTTTCTGCTATAGCTTAGGAAATGTTAAAAAAAAAATTGCTGCTATCAATTCAGTGTACAGTAAAGTGTGTTTTAGATGAGCACTTAAGGAAATGATCCCAAACATTTAAAATGCTTTATGTTCAAGGCCGCAGTTTATTTTTGTAACGTTTATAGCAGTTTTCTACTTTTTTTCTACAGCTCAGATAAAATGCTGTTGTATTCAGCATTTCAGAAAAAATATACATGTTTAATGCTGTATAATATGCCTATACCCACATTATGTCGATCAAAACTGTTATTTATTTTTTTTTCTGCATTTATTTCCGTTGACATTTTTTGATAAGGAGTTTTAAAAATATATTGTTTTTGGTTTGTATCTACAAAATACATTTGTTCTCATCACTAGAAATCTGTTGCTTTCAGGATATTTTAAGGCAAACTATTTTCCAGTGTTTTGCACTAGACCATCCTGTTCCATTTGCAGAGTGGTGATTGTTGGAAATGTTGATGTCCTACTGACAAGTTAAAGTGCACCTGTCATGTATGTTATAAGAGTCAGCAATTTATTGTAAGCTAAATCAACGTCTAGAGGAGTGTAGCTTCTCACTTCACTAGTCATAAGGGCCCAGTGAATGTTGCCTATGACTTATTGCTGTCATGATTTCCTAATGGATTGAAGCATTGTGCTTCTCATGGATATTGCTACATCTGCATCCCTCGAAATAGCTGCCTTTGTGGTGTTAGATGACGGGTGTTCTTTAAATGCTGCTGCTTTTTCTTAGTTATTCTGTACATATTTTCAAGGTAGTACTATGGTGTCAACACAACAATTGAACATTTTTTATTTAAACAGATCCTTAACAATTTAAAGGCCAACGTGCCTAAATGATAACACTAGGCAAGGAACGATGGTAACAAATTCGATTTCAGTCTAGTGTAATCAAGCAGATAGGTGGTTTGTAATTGGTCACCATGGGATGCTGCACTTTGCAAATTTTGTCTTAATAAATGCCTCTTGTAAAATAATCCATTTTTTTCTTTGTGACCATTTTTGAGGTACATACTGATGTGTTTTTCTTTTCTGTGCTAGCAAATTAAATGAAAGTTTGTTATGCTAAAAAGTACTTTCTTAATAGATGACACCATTGTAAAGTAGGGACCTCCTGGCTACTGTATATTTATCTCACATTACTTGTAATAACTCGGGCAATAGTCAGTGGTCTAAGATGCTCTAAAATCTGATTGTCTAATAAGACTTTTTAAATGAGTCAGGAAGATGTATTCTTTCTCACACAGCATCTAGATAATAATCAAATGCTATTTTTAGAGGATCGGCTTTCCTGCATAATCAAACCTTTAAAAAAGTGTGTAAAATTAGGTAACCCATAACCAGTTAATAAGACTTTATTTTTGCAATTTCCTGTTGTCCTAAGTAGTTGCTATGGATTACTACACATTGTTAAAATAATAGTGCTCTTTTTCCATATTAAAAAAATCTTGATTATTCAGTTTAGTTATGGTATGAAAAATAGTATAGAATTCAGCATTTTGTAAAAGTACAAAAATAGTATCTTCCCACGTCAGGCAACACATTCCCACCCCACTGCAAGCAATACTTTGTACGTTCAAGATCAATAAGTACAGCATTTAAAAAGGCTTTTAAATGATGCCCCGGGGATGCTTCTCTTCATTAAAGCTCTAGTACTTTTGCTTTATTTGCCTACGGTATCTGTACATATGTATCTGTACAAGTGTTATATCTGCAGCTTTAATATGGCGGGATTTTACTTAAAAAAAAAAAAAAAAGTGGTTGCTCAGGATATCCTTACTGATTTTGTTTTCTTCATGGGCAGTGCACATAGGGAGTCTTCTGTGATCATACTGGAAAAAAAAAAAAAAGACCACACATCTTGTGATTCCATTTTTCACTTGCACAAAAGCGACTTTTGTGTCATCTTATAGGGCTTCTTATCTCAAAAACTGATTATTAAGATACACTACTTGCTGATATGTTATAAATCTTTATGTGGTAATCTAATCCACAGCCTTCTTCAGTTGTACTTTAGATATTGTCAAAAAATTGGCCCCCTATAAAGGATATGATAGCTACTAGACAATAAAAGGTGCTAGATACCCATAGCAAGCTACTTGCTATGGGGGCACTTGTGCGTGCTTGCTCCCAAGCCAGGTCTGTATGCCCATTGAGATATATTGAGCTTGGATCATCCTGCCCCCTCTCTCTCCTCACTGGCTGTGATTTACAGCAGCAGGAGCCAACTGCTCCCTCTCTATGCGCTGAGGAGAGAGTGTCAAGAGAGCCTCTGTCTTTGAGCATGGTGGTGGATTGAGATGGAGCTCAGGTAAGTATTTAGGAGTGCTGGGGGAGGAGCTACATGCAGAAGGTTTTTTACCTTAAAGTCAGAATTTTTTACTTTAAAATGTTTTTTTGCATTAAGACGGGCTTTCCTAAGCCCCCAAGCAACCCCGTGGAGTGGGGGTACCTTTGGGAGCAGGAGTTTGAACTGGCTTAGAAAACCATAGTGATTAGTAAAGACTTTTTTAACGTAACCTGGCTGTTGGACTCACAAATGTCAATCCAGCCAGCCCATGCACGTTGAAAGACCTGATATATTTGCCTAGTCTGGCAACAAGTGGCCACATCAGGTAACTATTGGCTCTCATTTATGAGTGCCCTACGGCTGGTGTGTGAATTGGAGTGCCTGAGGGATGTAAGAAACTTGGGAAATTGGTTAGCTCAGCAGTATCAACCTAAAACCGGTAAACAGATGTTTGAGGCTGTTTGGCTCTTATGCTGGCAATACACTTGGCAACCTGGAGTTTTCAACCACAGCAGTCTTGCATCCCACAATTTCAAATAACCAAATTAATGTCAACTTTGGTTAAAAAAAAAAAAAAAGTATTTTGACTGACAGTTGTTTCAATTGATTTCTACATCAATTTTCCTTGATTGTTTAGTGGGACATAAATTAAAGTTACATTTTCTAACTGTACAAAGAAGTTACCTCCGATGATTTTTATTTGGTTTGCGTCATCGCTGCTGTGAAATGTAAAAATGTTGTTAACCTCTGGTTATAAGTGCAACAGAGCTCATTGGACAATGTCCAATTCTTCTATAACTTGTAAATAGCCACGATGACTACCCTGCTGTATCCATGACCCTGCTATATCACTGGCCTTGGGTGTTGTTCTGGAACAGTGCATCACAGACAAAAGAGCATTTTATGAGTCTAAGTATCCTATAGGTATCCTATATTCAGAATAAATGCATCAAAACATTTTTTTAAAATTACTTATCCCACAATATTAAAATGGAACACAAATCATGGCAGCACACCTTCCTCTTCAGGAATAGTGTCTTTGATGTGAACACAAGTCACGAACAAGTGCAATGTTTCAGAACCATGAAGGGTTCCTTTATCAAGAGTGAGCAGATTATTTTACATTGGTTACTAATTGAAGGCTAGGAGCACACCACTGCTCTTTATACTGTTAAGACCCTTGTCGAGATGTCTGTTAACTGTCAAAACTGAAGCTACCACCCAGTACTGGAGGCTGTTCGCGCCTGATTCTCAAAGATGGTACTAATTCCAGGGTGTAGAACACCTCTGCAAGATCATAAACAAATGAAGCAGGCAATTGTCAACCTCCAGTACTAGAGCCTGACAATGGTAAACAGATATTTTGACATGTTAGCCAAGTTGGGTCAAACTCTCCCCATTTAAGCAGCATCTGGATTTTTTTTTTTTTTGTGTTGGGTGAATATCTTTACCCACCAAAAACCAATGGTGGTGTGTATGTAAGTAAAAGCAAAAACGCAAAAATAGTGAGACTGTTTAGAAATAGAGACTTTACACAGCACTACGAGGCAGCACACCCAGTCTGGAGACCAGTCTTTTGTTTTGTTCTGCCTCCAGCCTGTGGCCAGACCTTTTAAGCAGAAGCAGCAGAATGATGTGCTTATCTTTCTCATGCTGCTCATTCCTCCTGTTAGTTTGTTCCATTTTAGCAAAGAAGTACTGCAGCACATCTGTACAACCCTTCCCTCTCCTAGTCTGAGCTGTGCTGCAGAAGGATCTATAGGCTAGTACAAGGGCAAATTCAGTAATTCTTAAAATGATTTGAACACAAACCAGCATGTGGTGTTCTTGTATTTGCCCGAAATTTTTTAATGCACCAAAAAGCAGAGGCATGAATGTTTTACCCTGTAAACTACTAGTTGATTTGTTTAAATTGTGCATTGATTTGCTACATCTTAAGTTCCCCAGTTCTTAGTTAAACTGCAGCTGAGAATACGGCAGATGGGCAACAGTATTGTGATTCAATAAGCAAATTTGGTGATGCTATGTCATGCTTCAACTAATACATTCTATTACTAGGCAGTTATGTATGCAATATGATTTACAAATTTTGGCTTGCACGTGTGTACCGCATATTTTAACCACTTCTGTCCACCCCATAGCAGAAGTACTGCTACAGGGTGGTATGGGTGCGCAAAATCACATATATATACTTGATTTCCGAGTAGGGGGCGCACGTGCA